CAGTTGAGTGAAAGAATCTTTACAGTGAATGGTAGCCGGATTCGCAAGCGCGGTCTTCCTTTCACCACTTGAAACCCCCAGAAGAGGGTTGCTAAACGGTCATGACTTGCGTCCTTGTACACACCACACATCTAGCCACGCCCACCAAGCTTGTGAATGGTCAAATGCCTGCGTCTTGCCCGTCCTCATACTCTCTTGTCTTGATGTCTCTTCTCTCACGTCAAGTCAAAGCGTTTTTTAGACTCCCTATCTTGCAGACTTGCCCATTTCCCAGTAAAGGATGCCTTTGCTTTCAGTGCTTTTCTTTTCTTCACCACCGGCCCAATTCGTCTTACTACTGAGTCCATGATAATTATGCTGTGTCTCTAGCCTACCAAAATGGCTGAATTCGGTTTAGTTCTGACCTTTTTTTGTAAGAGGTTTTTCCTGGGCCAAATTAAAGGCGCCTGGCAAAGCTGAGTGTAATGGAAGAGTCTCAGCACGGAGATTATTACCGAAACGTTCAAATAGTACCGTAACTATCTCCCAAAAAAGCCAAAAAATGCAGAGACCCGTCATCAAATACTGAATACGCTTCTTGCCCTTCTTTCTGTCAAAGGACGTCGCCCGAGTATTGCTCCCACTGAGTGATTCTTGTAGACTGAAATAGTATTTGGACGGGTAGTTTCGTAAATGGCTTTCCTCTTTCCAGGCTCTGAAGAAGGCGAAAGCGCCGAAACGTAAGCCAAATAAAAGTTGTTATCAATCTTGGTTGGAGCTTATTCACTACACTGACTGAATGCTGCTATTTTGTAGAGGTTTGGTGGAGAGTTCCATCCTTACCTTGTCTCTTTTTGTATACTTGGCACCTGATCCAAGGCCATGCGGTAGTACTTTATTGCTTTGTTGTAATCCTTTTTCTTGAAATATATATTGCCAATGTTGACCTGAAAGGAACAGATGAGGCTCATAGAAGTTGAAATGATAGCCATACACGGCGACGAGCACGGTGCCTTTAGGGACTTCATTCCTCCTGCTACACCTGTAGTTGAGCGTTTGTGATAAGCTCCCTAGTTTCTTCCGTGCAGTCATGCACATTGGGGACTACTGCATTTTTTCAAGCTTTATTTCTACAGACCTAAATTTGGCCCACCTACTCTCCCGGTATGCGTTTCCTAGGTGCATTATTTCTTTCAGCAATCGCCACAAGACGAGCCGACCCTCGCGGGTTTTTTCACGAGTTTGAAGTCATGAAATGGCAACAGTCGAAAACCACGATTTTCCGTAGATTAAAAAGGCTAAACGACAAAAGTTTTCGAAACTACTTTAAAGGACGAATTCACGATAAGAACGAAGGTCGAAGAAGGGGAAAATGGCCTAGTTGGGAGACAGGCGGACCTCCTGAGGGTGCTGACCGACGCAATTGGCAGCGAAAGATTTGACCTCGGCGCTCTAGCATGGCTCAATCTTGGCGCGGTTGGCCGGTGTACGCCCACCGACCATATAATCACGAAGAGAGAGCGTAGTGTTGGAGAGGGCACAGCGATGAGAGCATCAATGCGCAAATCAACGGGCAAGGAAGGGGTCCCATTTCTCGGGTTCTGGGCCGTTTCTCATGGTTTTTCCTTCTTTCGTGTACCACTCACCATCCCTAGGTTAATTTGAAATGGGTTGCTTTTTCAGCGTTAATTCGTCCTTTAAATTTCCGAATAAATATGGAAGGGGCTGATTGTTCTCCACAAGAGACCCCAAACAGAAAGTTGCCAGAGAAATTACCAAAGTGTAGGGAAATACTCAATGTGCAAAACGGCGAATACTTTTTGACCGATCTAAATAATAGTTAGTCGCAAGAACAAAGGCTAACTTTCCACCACTTTTGGCGTTTTCTGATGTCAAATTTTTGAACAAAACTATGAATAAAATGGAGCACGGCGCAATCCAGAAAATCACAGTAGGGTAAGGACAAAATTCTTCTACTCTAGCCACAAGTGATGCTTTCAGGAAATTCAATTGACAAAGCTGTGAGCAGCATGACCCACCTTCAGACGACCAGAATTCGGGAACATTTTATTCTTTACAATGATCTGATAAGTATTAAGAGCCTCGTTCGCCATATCATTTGCCATGTACTGAAATATTGTTGAATATTGATTGAAATAACAATGACCTACTAGTAGAAGTGACCTGTTGAGCCAAATTGAACAGTACGGTAAACGTCAAGTCGATATTCATTGATTCTACCACGTCCTGCTGCTCTCGATATTTGACGACTGCTCGTTCACGTCGACCAGCCTCCTTTGCTTTATCCAAAGCCTTAAAATTTGATGTTTTCGCAAAAAATCAAACGATTTACAAAAAAAAAACTTCAAAAATTGTGGAAAGTTTCTACAAAAAAAGGAAGAAGAAATGAATCAATATGAAAAAAATAAATTAGTAAAAGTCACTGTGAAAGAAATGAATATAATGGTGTAAACCTCTTTGAGACTTCGCTTTTCGGCGGCGAATACGCTTTCCTTTAACATATCCATCACTCGTTGCTCCATTTCCTTGCATTTCTGCTCTATTCTAAATGTAACAGCAGTTTATCGTGATCCAATCATGTCATAACTTAACACGTTGACGACAACGCAGGACACATACGTCCCGCACTTTGCAGGCCATGACGGACAGCGCGGGACGTATGTGTCCTGCACCCATTACATTAATTTTTTTCCGCGCACGCGCGATTCACATTAAGTTCTTTTGAATTTATTCTATAGAGGAAACCTTAGCATATCTACAAACCCACAGAATGGTTTCGTGTGCCTTCTTAGTTAAGAGGAAAGTTTCTGAACCCCATAAAATCATCATTTTAGGCAATTTTTCGTTCCCCAATGAGGTGAGATTCAAATGGTAGTAAAGTAAATACGGAAGCCTAAGGGATGGCAAGATATGCGCTTTGACCGGTACAAACGAGGTAAAGTTCCGATTCTGATTTCCATTGCAGCTGTGCCTCACAAATTTTGCTTTTTCATTTTCATTTCACTTCGTTCTATCAAATACCCACCACTATGTATCGATCCTGCGCACTATATCCTAGCTTCTACCAACCAAAACTCCGCCGATCTTCATCTGAACAATCAATCGGTGCTCTTATTTCCACCCCCTCCAAAGCCCGCCTTGATATGCCTGCGCCGCGCTCGCAAAATCGAGCCGGTCAACTGCGCCAAAAAGCCAAAAACTTGCTTTTGCACTTTAATATTATATTTGTTTTCTTCATAGTTTCGCCTTGAGATGAAAAGGAAATGTAGAAGGAGGAATGAAATCCTTCCACGTTTCTGAAGAACTTTAACGCAAGTACAACGAGCGCGAGTGAGTTTTTGGTGATTATTGAACCCTTAATTTTGAAACTCGCTGGACATAGGACCACAACGCGGCAAAATCGGCTTACTCCCCGCAAACCCGCGCATGAGAAATTTAGTTCCGGTTGGAAAATTGAAAAAAAGAAGTCTAGGCAAAAAGTGCTACAACTCACGTGTCTGTGCTTTTCGCATCGGATACTGTGGCTGATTCGGCAGCTTGAACTGAAAACGATTGCAATTTTCGTTCTTACCATAATAATTTTTGGTGAGGGCCACCTGTTGTATTATTATTGTAGGATTCAAAGGATTTGAGCATCTTATTGCTTGCTCATAAAAGCCTATTAAGGGCCGATTTCCAAGATGAAAAGCAGCCTCTTGGACATCATACTCAGAGCAGTGATCCAATGTTGCGTGTAATCCCACTCGAAATCCAAGTATAGCTGAAAAGTTGGACCCACTAATGAGAAACCAGGAACGATGTGCTGTCAAAAAACATGAAAATACACTAACTTCCGTCTACCCGCTGCATGTAGTGCCATGCGCGAAAAACTGGGCGTTCGGAGTACCGGAGAAGGAATTTCCAGGACAGAGCCTTAAGTGAATCAACCAAGTACGACAAGAGACAGAATCGAACGGTGGGCGCGAAAATATTCGAAGGTCATTGCGAATCGAATCGTAGGACACCCTTACAGCCTTACTGGAGCAATTTTGGATTCTAATTGTGGGACCTCTAGCAGTCCGGCCTACGCCGCTACTCGAGGGGGGGGGGACTTTATCAGTGTTGCTGAGTCCCGACTTGCCTGCCTGTCTTACACATTAAAGACACAACAACGAAACACACAGAAAATGCGCATAGAAGCAGAGAAATGGAACCCCCTTCTTGCCCGTTGATTTGTGCAATGGTACGACTCCCATCGCTGCTGCCCTCTCCAACAAACGCACTCTCTGCTGAATGGCTAGAGACTCAGGCACAAGACGACACGAAGAGGGGTACCCGCGCAATGACGCGGGAACTGCGCGCAGCGAAGGCCAATTGAGTCGCCGGGCCAGTCTTCAATACAATCTGTCCTGTCGTCCGCACCCCCCCCTCCTCTCCACTAGGGATATCCTCTTTGACCTTTGCCACTTCAATCATGGAAGCCTCTTTAGAAATTCCAATGCTACGGAATATACAGGGGCAATGTTGTTCAAAAAAGAGTTGCCTACTCATAGAGAGCACCAGTGCAGCTCACGTAACACAGATCGAGGGGTAAGAGAAATCGTGGGCTTGCGTCAACCCTCATTGTAACGCCCCATTCTTCAGAATCCGTCGAACTGATGTGTGGCACGTACTCTCAAGCTTGACAACCGACTTTTCCTTTCCAGACGAGCAATGACGATCATAAAAGCATAAGATTGACCGCCATCCTTGACTGCAGTTGATGGGTCATGCCAGGACACAACCGCTCAAGGAGACTCGAATACGTTGAGGAATTATGCCGTTCTTGGGCGGAACCAAAGTGCCTGTAGCCCACGTTCAAAGGCTAACCCCCGACCGATGAAGTGAGAATCGTAACAAATACATTTGAATTTATATCGAGCCCGACATATGTGATAGTACGCGCTGTCATTCCGCAGATACTCTCTAAAACTTCTCACAGTGCTATGAAACAGCGGTCGCGCTGGCCACGCGTGCCTATCTGTGTATCGCCCTGTCCCTCTTATTTTTCTCTTCAGCGCCATTTTCTCTTACCTACGCCTTCTGGCCTGTAGTCAGACGAGCTAGAAGGGGAGCTGTATATTCAGCTCCCCATGGTCCCCTTTTCCTCTTTTCCCATCCGATGGTCCACTTTTCGCTTCCTCTTTCATATTTGGAATCTCCCCAATGGAACTTGACCACCTTGTGCACCCTTGAGGGCGTTTATGATCCGCTTGGCTCAATATTCTAATGACAATTGGGACAGGATCCTCGCTTTCTCGCGGAAGCATTTTCGGGGACATTTTTGCTATGAGAACTCCATGCTCCGGTCACTTCGTGCTGCCATAACCTTACTGCTGTTCAATATGTGCAGAGCGACCTTTCTCAGCTTCCCCTTCCTCCCATAATACGAAGTTATTACGAATATGATGATTATGTGCTCTTATTAAGTCAGTGGCGTAGCTCGTTACCAAGAAAGCCTGATGAAAAGAAAAACAAACCTTTATTGGCGAATGAGGTATATCCGGCGGCTCTTACGGCGGTCATCGGTCTGGCTGGCTCATTTCTGGTTGCGAACGATGTTCTTCCGGTTCGACTCTGAATTCCATATGAGGAAACTCCTCCTCCATAGCTGGAACGTGGCGCCATGCCAAACGCCGATGGGGCTCGGCCTGCCATCGATGTGGTCTGCAAAGCCATTTTTAACAGGGGGTTCATTTGCTAAAAGAATTTCCAGTTCAAATTCGGATTAAATTGAGTAGAATTCTCAGGCCAAAGTTTCGAGAGGCTTCAACTGCTTGCAGGGTTAGCATGGATTTCAGGATGTACCATTCCCTCACAGCCAACATTGATCGATTATTGATTTCAGGATGTACCATTCCCTCACAGCCAACATTGATCGATTATTGATCCATGAGTGAATAACTGATTTAATTTTAAGTTCCGCCTGCATAAGTTCTCAATTTGCACAAAAATGTCGAGAAAGGAATCCAAAAACTATCTTTCCGAAGAAAAAAACTTCTTAGGTTCTGGGTTCCTGAACTTGCCGACCTACAGGACCATGAATTTTCTTTGAAGGGTAGTTTTTCTTTTTTTTTGAAGTAGTCGGACACCTCAAGAAAAGCAGTGTTCAGTGCTGGTGTGGAAATTTCCTGCTAAACGGACAAAAGCTTTGAAGGAGGTGGAACTCACTGGTCGGCGTCCGTGACTTGATCTAGCCACTGCTTGTTGAAAGGAACGATCTTGAGCGAGATGCTATAATGTGTGAAATTTTTCCAGTGAGTAGCAAATTGATTAGGCTGCTTACCTCAGTATCGTACGCATGATCGTAGGCATCGAAACCTCCATAGAGATCGTCTTCTGTTGCTGAGACGGCGGCCATTGCACAGAAGGATTAGTTCGAACGACGCCGCTTGAGATGAATTGCTGCTCAACCGCGTTGCCACGGAGACCCGTCACAACACTAACAGCGGCCAATCTTGCTAAACACATGCATAAAGACTAGACTTAAATCCCTCACCGACGGTTCAGCTGATCTTTCTGGGAGATTTTCGAAAGCGGTGTAGAGGTTGGGGGCGCCGCACCATACTTCCACAGCGCGTGGGTTCGAATCTCCACCGGGCCCTTTTTTCCTTTACATGTCTAGAAGAGGCCTTCCTGGATGATCGGTAACATTCACTCGAATAGTAAGTGGCCCCCGTGAGACATATCAGAATTGGAACTTATCCAGGGACCCCTACGGCCCCGGGTGAAGTCAAATCTGCGGCGCAGAGTCAAGGAAAAAGCAGCCTAAGTAAATTCACCTTTTATTCATATTTTTTTCAACCAAAGGTGGAAATGAAGCAATGAGAAGTGGCGCCGATACCACAAGTATGATCCAGAGATCAAAATCCTGTTCACTGTTGAGAACGAAATTTGCCCGTCCAACCCTGAGACCTTGAACTGCTTCTTGCTTTAGGCTCCCACAAGGCCGTTCATGGCAGGAAGAGTGACAGTGAGTTGGATGGGAAAATCACATGCCGTGAGAACCGCAGTCGTTATTTCTGAAGTCTTGGAACCCATATGGGAGCTGCGAAGCTTTAAATTCATCTTTCCAATATTACCTGATATCAAATCACCGTTTTTTCAAAGAAAAAATAACATGGAAATGATTATGCGCAAGTGTAGGCGAAAAAGTCCAGGATCTGGCGCCTGATAACATCGCTTCTGGGGCATCTTCGGCCACAACGACGCCTTGTAAGAACAGTCCACAGCCCCTTTTCATTTTCAGCCTTCTTGCAACATTTCACTTGCGTTATCGTGTGATGTGTCATTAAGTCCGATTCATCACGTGCATCCGCTGGGCCAAAGCGTGTACGCGTACTCCTAGAAATTTTGTTTTTTCATGTCTGCGTACAGAATTCTTCCTTTCCCGACAAAGAAATAACTCACATCAAGAAATATGAGGTGCGAAAAGATTTTTTGGCTCTGTTCCAAAAAAGGGGAAGGATATTATGTGCAAAAGTCACAGTCACCTGAACAATCAACTTTTCAAGGGGGGGGGGGGGTGGGGGTGGGTGAACTCCCAGGATGAGTGCAGATATGTACGTAGGCAAAGTGGTTCTGAATGTCCACTTCTCCTGCAGAAACTGGAATTACTGTATGCGCACAAACATCTCTATACCTATTCGCCCCCCTCCCCTTGCATGATAGACCTGGCTTTATTCTCCAATAACGCAGTTTCCATGATTCCGATTTTTATGCTTATCTTTTCATTGTTCTTCTGTTACGGTCATGCCTCAATCTCATTGCTGATAAATTTCCTAAAAAGCTTCTTCAAAGCACTCACTCATCCACGATTTCCCCAGTCACACGTCACGTCCACGGGTATCAAATATCACCGAGCATCGCTCCAACGAAACAACTGCGATGGCACACGATTCCATTGAACTCGAGATGAGCCAAACTAACTTCATATGACAATCCCTTATGAAGAACAAGGATGTCTCCACTCTCCATGGTATCGTCGTCATGCTGGAGCTTAAATTGACAAAACTCCACGCCATCTCGTTGAAGGGGGGGGGGCGAGGGATGACATTCAAGTGAGCGAGCACTAGAGCTCTTAGGACTAAATAGGGTTTGCCATGTGCCACAAAGAGGGACGTTCACGCCAGAAGTGGCTTCGAACGCTGAACACAATCTACCTTCTAAATTTGTTCATATGATTTTTGAAAGGAGTTACGAGAGTTCAAAGCAGCGCAACGTGAGTGGTCGGGATTCACAGTGAAAACGTCGTAGGGTCGGTCCCTTATCGTGTTTACTGTTTTCCACTATTCAGGAATACAGCTAATTGGCTTCAATAACCCTGTAAACCTCAGGGAAGGGAAGGACTCTGGGAAGATGTGAGCCAGATTGTGATTCGCCGTTTAGGCGTCTGCCTCCTGGCGCTTACAAGGGAGGTCGTTCAGGGTGTGCCAAGCTTTTTCAAAATGGTTTCTTGCATGACATTGGGGCACATATGGGGACCACAGAAGCATGGTTCATTTTTCCTGAACGGCCCTCTGAATACCAAAAAGGTGGTCCCTAAGTTCGATTCCGTGGCGGTGACAAATTTTTGCATTTCGAGTTGACGCTTCAAAATTCGCGCAAAATGGAGTTAGCATGAATAATTAGTACCATATTCATGATAGGACCGTCAGTAACCCTTACAAATAGACTTTGATTGAAAAACTGGTGAAAAAAGGTGTGACACCAAAACGGCCAACGTGATATTAACAACTTTTGCCACCAAGTTTTTACTCAAAGTAATCTATTATTGCGACGGCGCCTCTAATCATGAATATATACTAATTTATTCATGCTAACTCCATTTTGCGCGAATTTTGGAAACGTCAACTCGAAATGCAAAAATTTGTCACCACGAGGAATCGAACTAGGGACCCCTTTTCTGGTATTCAGAGGGCCGTTCAGGAAAAATTAACCATGGTTCTGTGGTTCCCGCATGTGCCCCTATATCATGCAAAAGACCGTTTTCAAAAAGCTTGGCACACCCTGAACGACCTTCCTTGTAGCTATTACCCTAGCATCATCTCTTTATTGAATACCCCACCCTCCAAAGACAATGAGCTCAAAAACTCAAACTTGTGGTCAGTGATGTTTTAGCTCCAAAACACGGAAATTACCCTGTGGCCTTTTCAAATCCATAGCAAGGGTAAAGGCAATCTTGTGAAGCCTGCTTGTACAAATAGCGTAACATATCCCAAACACCCTAAAAGCCCAACAGTTATCTCTTCTTCGTAGAATTTTTGAAGAGCTGTGCTTGCTAGCTTCACTCTTCTTCAAAACTCTAACATGGACAGACCGAACAAAAACCCTATATTTCATACTAATGCTCAATGAAAGTTACAGCCAAGCAGAAATTTGGCTTGGAGCCATAAGGCCGTTATGGTGGCTCAGAATGAACACCCTGGTCGTGATTCGGCCAGGTTGCCACTTTTGCATCGTTGTTTATTTTCCGGCCTTGTTGTTTGCTTCGGATTTCTTATCATTCCGATGTTTGTTTGCGGCGTTCTTTTGAATTTGAATTTAAATTAGATTTAGTGCGGAGTATTATTTTTCTACAACCGAGAATGAGGTCTCAACGATATAGGATGGATTATTTTTGAGGTATTTTTTACACCTTGTATAAGCTGTGTTTTAGTTGCATAAGCATCAATCATTAGAAAAATCGGAGCTTTTCTGGCTGGCTATTTGATAGTGATATGAGAACTTTTTCCTTAACTTCTTTTGTGTGTGTGTTTACAGTGACTGCTAGTTCAGAGTAAAAATTCCGTCATCTTAAAGTTTTTTTTTTTAAATACGCTGACTGTTCCTCCATAGTTGATTGTCATGGAATAATCCTGCTCTTTTTAGTTTATAGCTTGGGTCTGAACCAAGAGTTGCTTTTATGGATTAGAATTCTCATCTTTAACTTATGAAAACTATCATTCCGCGGAAGCCTCGGCAAATAAATTAGTAGAGCTATTTTATAAGAATTCTGAATCAAAAGAATGTGATGTGCAAATACCTCTCCTGCCTGGAAAGGGTTCAGAAAAAGAAAATCTGGTATTGATTGGCGCCGACTTCAGCCTAGGGTTGGCTTCCTTGTTACCGATAGTTTCTCAATCCATCTGTCACCGTTCTATTCCTCTAATTTTTTTAACCCGCATATTTGTTGTCATTGTGATGATTTTCTCAGTTACTGGAAGCTCATGAAGGTCCACGCCGTCGTGATTGTTGGTTCTAAAGTCTAGCTTTATTCAAAATTTATATTCTGCATTCATTCTTGGGCACTAATGAAAGATATCCTTTTGATGTTCTCATTGTTTCGCTGGTATCCATGTAAGTACTGGACATGTCCATTAACGTAGAAGTGCTCCAAAAAGTGAAGCGTTTGTCAGGAACTCTGCAGTGATTACTTTTAAAAGTGATTTTTGGTCGCGCTCAAGGAAGGAACAGCGCGAGTCCAACTTGCGAAGGTTTCGGGTGGTCGTGAATATTCCACGCGAACTTCGAATCATAATTATAACAACTAATCATAATTCATTCTTCTTTTCTTGTGTGTACAGATAAAAGGAAAGTATAGGAAGAGATTTATTTTTGTGTCGAGCAAGTGACTTCCTATTCATATGGCATACAAAGGGAGCGGAGAGAAGGTTGGGAATGAATCCTCTTTTATTTTCAAGGAATCATATTGCTAATACGCTGCAGAGACTTTTTGGATAGTTTCCGCCGTTGTCTCCGCCCTCCGCCTATGCAAGCTTTTTCATCAAACTAATCATTGTCGACTAAGGCCTTTCGATATGTGTATGAATACCTTCTGAGAAAATACCATTGATTTTCGTCCAAGTTATGGTAGATGCCTATAGGGTTTTTATACCGACCGAATTTGGGAAGTAGTGTTTATCTTGCCAGGCGCAACTCCTCCCTCTTAAGAGGGTCGAGTAAATTTTAAATCTACTTGTCCGTAATACCTTTCTCGACAAAATTAACTCATTCGTATCATCCCGAAATTCTTTTTTTTGTTGTTCTTATCTGTGATTGTGGTCAGACGACTTTTTGTATAAATGAGTTAAATCTACTCAGGTAGGATTAGGGTATCTTTTTCCATAATTTGTGGTATTGCTTCGTTATGTCAAAACCAGCTCTTTACATATCTCGCTCTAGGGCTAATAAAGCAAGTCTTTTGTTCATCATTTTTCAAGCAGTTTTTGCAAAAACAAGTGCAAACACCTGATCAAATGTTCGGAGGATCGGACGGGCTGTGACGGATAAAAGTGTAGAAGTGTGAAATTTTCTCCGCAAACATCATTAATCTCTCGATCTTCTTCCGTTTAAGCTCACTACACTTTGTGAGATTGATCC